TTCTGCAACTCGCATCATGGACAACTAAAAGTCTTCCACTGCTGTGCTGGGGGAGGGGAGAGGACTGAATGAGACCTGAAGCAGGTCCCTGCAGCAGAGCTCAGACTCCCTGCCTATAAAGGAGAACCTGGAGGTGTTATTTAGTAACAATTAAATGCAGCAGGCTTTATGGAATTCCTGACAGCCTCACAATGCCCACAGCTGCTCTCCCCATCACCTGGCAGGGATGCTCCTGCCTTGTGCTGGAGCACTCGAAGAATGGGCTGGCTGTGGGCTGCCTTAATGCACTTCCCCGGAAGTGGGGAGCCTTGCTGCTGCAAGGGCATGGCAATTACAGCACTGACATGTCCCATGGTCTGTGGGTGTCCACTCCCTGTGTGTGCCTCATTTCCTTTAGAAAATGACAAAGCAGAGGAAAAGTTTGACAGTGTGACCAGGGCACAACTTCACCACAGGGTCACAGCAAAATGTTTTGAAATCTCACTATCTTTCAGAGAGTCAGTAGCTATTATTTGGTCCTGTACCTTGATGTCTGGCTTGTGCCTAGTGTGACAACACCAGAAATCCTGTTTCCCTGCATCCTTCACTAGCCCCAAGCCGTCCCTGGGTATGCTCACATACTTCAGCCTAAGTGGGAGCCAAACACACCCTGCCTGGGCTGTGCAGGCCTGTGGAGATCTGTCTGCCTCTGCCTAAGCTGAAATGACCTTGGGGCTGCAAAGCCCTACAGGGTGACTCTCAGGGGCTCCTCATCAGGACCCATCCCTGCAGAACAGGTATTCTCCCCAGAGTGGGTCAACATGTGGCTCTGAAAGGGAGGCAAGGGCTCAGCACCACCCTGCCCAGACCTAGGGCTGCCCGGGCAGCACAGACCTGCCCAGACGGACCTTTCGCCACATCCAGGGCCCAGAGATGTTCCTTCCTCCATTATTCCCACCCTGCCTGGGTAACAAGAAGGGGAACTCTGTGGGGAACACGCATTCTCCCTTTCCCCTGGCTAGCCCTGCTCTAATCTTCCCTTTCCAGACGGAGCGAAGCCCATTCTACAACTCCCACCGCCCACAGTCAGTGACTCACAGAGACGCTGGTGCCTCATCCGGGCAGTGCTGCCCCAGAACACACTTCCCGGCAAGGAAACCTGCCCAGCCGCGGGGAGGAAAAACGATCCTGGTGTCCCCTGGAGCCACGGGCACCCGCGGTGAACGGGAGGTGTGCGCCTTGGCTGGCCCGGCCCTGCTCCTTTAAGGGAGGAAGAGCTGCTCGGAAATTTGTGAATGGCTGTTCCCGCCCCCGCCGCGCGCGCCGCCCGGCCGGCCAATCAGCGCGCGCGCCGCAGGCGGCGCACGGGGCCCTCTTAAAGGCGCACTGCCAGCACCCACCCGGCCCCTCACAGCCGGTTCGGAAGTCCCGAGGTGACCTTCAAAGCGGGTCCCAGCCGCGGGAGGAGGAGCCGCTCCTGAGGCACAGGCACACCCATGTGTTCCTCAAGGGTGACATGCTAGCAACACAAGCCCTGGAGGGTGTATGGTGCTGAGGGATGTGCCGGTTTCCCTCACCCAGATTTCAGGGCTTGGACATGGGCTGGTCAGGTCGCAGGGACTGGACATCCACACTGGCCAAAGCACACAGGTGGGCTGGGTTTCCCTCAAGGGCCATGAGCTGCCAAGCCATGTTGTGAGGGAGTACAGGCAGCTGGGAGAGCTAATTCATCACCCTACTCTTGTTCTAGGCCAGACCAGGAACGCAGGTGCGCTCCCACAGCAGCGGAGCACTAAAACTTAGGGAAACACCCCATGAGCCTCAGCTGTGCAAAACCTACCACTGCACAGAGGAGAAATAGCTGTGCAGCACATGCCAAGGCAGAGGGAATGAAGAGTGCAACAATGGATTTACAATAAACTCAGCTCCAGGTCCAGCTTGCCTCCCCCTGCACTGCAGTGCAGTGCCCCCTCCTTGCTCTGCCACAGCTCCTCCCTCAGTCTGCTGTAGCCCAGGCTGTGAAATTATCTGGTCCAAAAATACCCCTTAAAGGGAGGACAGCCTGGCAGGACATTGCTGTGTTTCCTGGACACGTGCAGGTGGGAAGCTGGTTGTGAGGCTGAGGAAGCGATGTTGGCCAGGCAGAATGGTCTCCATGTCAGTGCTCTGGGCACACACATTGGTGTACCTGAGCAGTGCCATCCCCTACAGCTATCCAGGCCACAGACTGCAGGAGGCCTTTGCCTGAGCCTCAATACTTGGAATAATTTTTAGGTGTGATGGCAGTAAGACTCCTACAAGGTGCTTTGTACCTGCAGGCTGCAAGGCTCTGCCAGGTGCTGCCCTGGGGCAAATCCTTGCTTCCTGCAGCAGGGCAGAGATTGGCTTGAAATGCTGCCACTGCTGCAGCCACGCATAGTTTAACCCTCCCAGAGCAAGCAGAGCAAGGCAAGAGGAGCCAGCACACAGCAGAGAGCACCTTTCCAAGGGCTCACGCTTGGATTCACAAGAGGGATGATTTCCAAACCCATGCTCATTTACTGTCCTCCCCCTGTACTTCCCCCAGCTCCTACCAATGCAGAGGATAATACATCTCTCAGCGTAGCTTGATACTGATCCTCCAAATCCTAAAGACCATAAACCTTCATGAGCAGTTATCACGGCTGCTCTATTTATAACAGTGCCAGTACTGCCTCTGCCACCAGAATCCTGATCTCTGTCCAGCCTGATGCCATTAAGATGCAGGGACATTCCCCCAGCTCCAGCACTCCAGACAGAAAGCAGCTGGCCTGCCAGGCTCTGACTTCAAGCTTGGTTTGCTTCTTTAAAAATGGCGAGAAGAGCTTGTTTTTTTTTGCAGAAATGCACCTGGGGAATTTGTCCTCACTCTCCTGAGATGCTGGGGTGGCTGGGAGGGGGAGTGGAATGTGGATGGGTGGAGGAGAAGGTGGCACATTCCATGCTCTGGCTCCACATTCCTGAGCCCTTGGTGGGTCTGTGCAACAGGAGACAGGCTCCAGTGCTTCGCTCTGGTTGCAGCAGGTTGACCAGGAATATGGTCAACCACTGGACAAGGCAAAGCAGGAAAGGAGGAACCTGGGTGCTGCTGTGTGGACCCTGCATCAGCACATTTGGGAAACTTGATGAGCAGAGCAGAGACCCACTCAGCAGAGGCAGTGCAGCAGCTCACTGAGCTCCTGGCTAAGGCACTAATGGGCCTGGCTGCTGATCAGGCCCCATCCTGCTGGGGATGCCTGTGTCTTGGTTCTTGATTTCAGAGCTACACATGAAACCCACCAGTGTGAATCTCAGTGTGCAAGTTGCTCCAGCAGATGTGCTCTCTTGGGGAAAGGCAGACACAGACACTACATGGAGGCAAAGCTGAAGCACTGGTCTGAAAGGAGGATGGACTCCAAGCCTGTCTGGATGGCTCTAGAGCATGGGTCTCCCCAGAGCCTCCCCCTCACTGTTCCCTTTCTGCCATTGCATGGGGAGAGCTGCATGCACTCACATCATCAAAATACCTTCAAAACAGTGACAATGACTTGGATGAATGGAGATACCACATCCATCAAGATTTTCCTATGCTGCACAGCCAGAAACATCTTGTCTGCAAGAATTTTCCTTTTGCTGCTGGTTTTAGACAAAATGTCCCCAAGTAGGAATAGGTGACCATGCATGAGATTTTTTTTTGGTTTGACAGCCTGGTGGCTCTACTGACGTCTTCATCCCTTGCTGAAGCTAGATATTGAGCTGGGAGAACTGAAGTCTAAGCATGTTCATCTCTTCAGCAGGAATAGTAAGAGCCTCTAGTAAAGCTGAGGCCATTCAACCCCAAAATGTCCACTGAAGTGACAGCTCTTACTGACACAGCCCTTGCTGAGACCCCCTTTGAGCAGCAGCATCCCTGGGACACAGGCAGCCGGCTGACCAGCTGGGTGTCACTGCTGCGCAGGGCTGACGTGTGGTTCAATCTGTGTGTGTTACTACAGGCAGACACCCTCTTGAGTTCAGCATTTTGGCTTTTGATCCTGTGTCTGCAATGTCAAAACACAACATTGCTGGAGAGCATCTGAATGCCCTGAAGCGACATCTAGGCACAAAGTGGCTCAAATAACACTGGGCAGCAGCCTCTGGGCTGAGGGTTGCTGCTTTTCTTCTCTGCTTCTCCTAAAATGCTCTCCCTTTTGCATGGGGATACAATGGGGAGGGGGGAGCTGCCCCAGGAACTGGTTGCTTCTGTGGTCCCATTGCTTGAGCATTAGCCATTTCCTGGAATTTTGGGGTTGCAGGACCGATGCTGATGGGCTCAGGTAGAGATAAAGCAGTGGCCTGGTACAGTCTGGCCTGCAGAAATGGCTTCAGCTGCCTGCTCAGGCAACCTACAGAGAGGGCACGGCGTGGTGAGGCAAGCAGGGCACTTGCAACCAAGCAACCTGATAGGTGCTTCTTGCTGGGGCTGCATTCATTGTCAGACATTCACCTGCATCAGAGATTTGCTTCATTTCCCTGACGCTCCACGCAACAGCAAACAGCTCCTTGGTACTTCCCCCTCTCCTGTATCTCACAGAGAAAATGGAGAGCGGTGAGGCTGCAGCCAAGCCAGGGGAGCAGGGAGTTCACAGTCGGCATCCCTGCAGCTGCAGCATCAGCCACACACCCACCCATCCTGACCCGCTGCTCCTGGCAGGCAAAGGTGCACAGCACGGGAACGCCCTTTGGTCTGGCCAAAGCACACTGGGAAATAGGAAAAAACACTCGAGAGAAGGACGGGAGAAGCAGACACCCGGTCGCCACGCTAGCAGCACAGTTCGCCTTTCTCTGCCAAATGCCCCAGGGAGCTCCATGGGCCTGTTTGGCACTTGAGCCGTGGATTATGGGGCATCTTCTTCCGCAGCAGGTACAGCAGAGAGGGCTCCTAACACTCTGACAGGGCGTTTCTGCAGGAACTGTGTCCTCCCTGGGACACGGGGAGAGAGACTGGGACGTTTCTGGCCTCGGGGCTAAAGCACAGACTGTACCTCTCACGCTGTGGGCACGCTCTGAGGCATCCCACACACCCGGAGCCTGCCGGAGCAGCATTGACCCCTGCCAGCGAGGTTTCTTATTCACTGGTGATTTCAGAGCATGCATGGAATGCCTGTCCTCTGAAGCAGCCTTGCCTGCGCTCTCCATCATATCAGGACCTGCTGTTGCTCTGTGTCAGCTGTCAGGCTGAGCAAGGGCAGAGCTGTGGCGCTGGCGTCGGGCAGCACAGCGAGGAACGCCTCGGCAGACGGGAGGGATGCACGGGCAGGAGGAGGCGGAGGGGCAGCCCCGCACTGGCGCGGTGACAGGGATGAAGTCAGAGTGGCTGCAGAGCCGCGCTGGGAAGCAGGAGAGGGTGGCAGGGGAAGAGCAGCGCTTCCTCGCAGGCGCAAAAGCTCTGCTCATCAGCGGCATTGTTCCTCTTCCATTTATCTTTACAGCTGGCTGCTCCCTGCACAGAGGATGAAAACGGCGTTTACTGAGAGCAGAAGCCTCCTTGGCAGCCTGGGAGCACAGGCGAGTGACACCGGCCACAGGAGCATCCTCGTGAGTCTTCCTGCAGCACATGCACATAAGCCCTGAGCAGCCCTGCTGAGGCAACCACGGGACTCGGGAAAAGGTTGAAATGAAGGAATCAGCAAATAAAACCCCACAAGCCCCAGAACTCAGGCAGGATTGTGCCTCTGTTAGCCTAAACAGGGCGTTTTATCTGGCAAAGTTCCTTTGATCTTGCCCCGTGGAGGGCTGAACATCCATTTTCCCACGGAGGGATGGTCTCAGCCACTAAGCCTCAACAGGAAGCACATGTCGTTGCTGTATTTACCGGCACCTCTTCGTTTGTAGCAGCCATTTGCACACTGCAGGGCTCTTCAGAGCACACCCATAACCTCGCCAGCAGGCAGAAATTTCCTGTTCCTGGAAGCATTTGTGTGGAGAGGCCATCTATTTGACATGCATCTTCCTGGCTGAAGCAGGTCATGGTAACTTTTGCTCTGTTAACAATGCTGCAGAGAGCTGCAGGCAGGGGACAGGACAGAGCCAGGGCAACAGGAAACTTATTTACATTGATGGATGCAATAAGAGAATTGCAGTTACTTCAGGTAGGAAAAGCCAGTTCATCATGTTCCCTGTTATCAGTGGCAGGATGTCCACTAGAGCTCTCGTTCCTGGGCTGATGGCACCAGGGTGGCAGCTGGTGCTCCCCTGCCCTAGCATTAACTATCACCTATTATAAAAGCTTCCCTGGTTCTTCCAAATGCAATTTGCCATCTCAGGTATTTTTTCTGAAGCCCACTTTGGAAACGCCTGTGGCAAAAAAAACACACGCTGAAGGCTGGAAAGCAAGAAGTCCCCATGGAGCAGGGCAGGAGCTGGGTGTGTAGGTGTTGTGCAGCCCTGGTGCTGCCCTGCATGCTGTGGCTGTTGAGAACTGTCACGGGATGTGATGCTGGCAGGGGCTGAGGCGTCCTCAGTGCCTTCATGCAGGAGTGAAGGATGAGAAACAGGGCCTGTGCTGCAGTCCAGCATCACAGCCTGCCCCAGGCACCTGATCCTGTCTCATGGGGGACTGCAGGAAATGCTTCCCTCTTGTCAGAGAAAGGCTTGTATTCAGCAATGAAGGTGACATCCTGGGGAAAGGCTTACCACTGTGGTGAAGGACTTTGCATCTCAGCACAGGGGCTGCTGCAGAGGAGTTCTGCTCAAGCCTGCAGCTCTCCAGCACTGCTTGGCTCCACTTTTCAAGAAAGCTGCTGGGTTTCTGCAGAAAGCCAAGTTTCAGGCAGGACTACAGGCATGGCAATACCTGGCACTGAACACTACCATCCTCACAGCTTTTCACCTCCAGCTCCCTGCTCTGCCTGCAGCCATGCTGTGAAATGACCATCCTCTTGGGATGAGGGAGGTTGCAGATGAGAGCCCTGCCAGGGCACAGTCTTCCCAGAGTCCCAGTCTGCCCAGCCAGGTCCCCATTGTTCCTCCCTCTTGGGGCAGTGACCCCCTGCTCGGGGCTGGCAGCTGCAGCCCCTGAAAATGGGTGACCCCTAAAGCTCCAGCATTTGGCACCAAGGACTGGCCCCATGCTGACACAGGCTAGGAAAGAAGGAGGCTGAAAAGAATGACAGAAATTATTTCAGGTCTGGAACAACCTGGCTCAACAGTGAGCGAGTGAAGAAGCCAATCTGTTTAGTTTATCTAAGGGAAAGTTAAGAGGGAACTTAGAAGCATCTATAAATATCTACATGTTGGGAACATTTCTGATTGCCAAGGTCCTTCATCCTAGCAAACAAAGGCAGCAGCTTTTCCTAGTGCTGTGAGCTAAACCAAGAGAAATACAAGCTAACAGTAAAATACAGATTTTTAACGTGAAGGATAAATAATCATCAGGCCAGCCAGGCCAGGGACAGAGCAGATTCTCCATTGCATGAAGCCTTAAAATCAAAACTAGGTGTCTGCTGCTAAAGGAGACATTGCAACTCAGCCAGACATTTAGGGCTGGATGTAAGAACTGCTGTACTTCACGGCCTGGGATAGTTAGGAAGAAAATCCCTTAAAATCACAACAGAATTTGTTCCAAATTGCTCAGGCTCTCACCCCCTCACAGGTTTTGCCCTGCGATTCCCCTGTGGTGGTGGTTCCCACCCACTGGCAAATGGAAATCAGCAGCCAAACTCATCTTCTTGTCATACTCAGAAAACCATTGTCTCGCCCTTCAAAAACTGCTAAAGATATGGTGAATGACTGAAAATGTAGAGAGAAACAAGAGAAGAAGAGAAATTAAACAGTAAGAGAAAAAAAATGGGGTGTTACCCATTTTATTGCAGTCCAGAAAAAGAAGGGAAACATTTAAAAAAGGACAGAAAAGAGGCAGTGCAATTTTTGTATTTAAAATACTTTGGAAGAAGACTTAGAGTTAGCAAACAAGCATTATTTCAAACTTTGCCAAGAAAAACAACATTTTCATATAATTTAAAATCTGTGGTGAGCTCCATTCTTCCTGGCCACTTCATCCTTCCCAAAAGTGCATTTCGCCCTTCACTTATCCCTGAAACTCCCCTCAAATGCGTAGCCCAAACGATTTTCTTGTACCAGGTGGAGGCTGAGCTTTACGATGCACATCCAAATAAATGGTGTTTCCAAGTAAATAAGACAGCAGAGAAAAGCTCGCGGGAAGCTGAGGAACGGACCTGCCATTTAAGAGCTTGGAGAAAAAAATATGGAAATCTGCAACGTGGGAGCGTGCCAGCGCTGGGGGCGAGAGGGACGGGCCTGGGAGGATTTCCAGCTCCACGCAGCCTCTTTATTCCTGCGCCACATCCACCTGCCCTCCGAGCCCTGAGGGCTGACGCGGGGCAAGTGCTAATGCACGGGGATGATTTCAGTGCCATCCAGCCCCTGGCACAGGTGACTGCTTGACTTTCTGGGGTGAGCATCAGCAGCACAGCCAGGAGGATGCACTGCCAGCCCCAGGGGAGGGAAATGCCATCCCTGCAGTGCTGAGAGCACACGGCCCCGGCGCTGTCCCCTCAGTGCCAGGCGCTGGCAGGGCTGGCAGGGTGGGAGGTGGCGTGGGACGCACGGAGGCTCACCTGGGGCAGGGTGCTGTGAGAGCTGAGCACCAGGCTGCAGACACTGGCTGGTGCCTCTGTCCGCCGTGCTGTCACCCTCACCAGCCGTGGCGGTGTCACTGGAGCACTGTCCCCAGATCCCGTGGTGAACCTTTGCTCACGGTCCCAGGAGCAGTCCTGAAACGAGACAAATGGGGGTACATGTGGATAGGGCTGGCCAGCTGCCTGCAGGCTCTCCACTGCTTCTGGAAGGGCCAAAACGAGCTTTTCCGCATGCAATGGGAATAGTGCCTTTGACGGGCATCCCTCCTCTCATGTCAGCCTGCCTGGCACTGGGCCCAGGGCCAGTAGGGTCACTGCAAGCAATTGTGGAGGTTTGCTGGCCCGAGACTCTGTGCCATTGCTGGGCTGCATTTCATGTTTTAGCTACACAAGACACCCTCAAACACGTTTTTTTGAGAAAGGAGGAGGGATTTGATGGTGTCAGTGGCTTGGGCTGTGTTCAGTGCAAGGAAGCCCTGCAACTGGATGCCTTATTCATCCCCTTTACAGACAGGGCACGGTGGAGGGAGCAGGGGCACCGCTCACACCAGCTGTACAAGGCCCACAGTTGCTTTCCTGCTTGCTTACACGCTGATTTTTCAATGTCTGTATTCAATGTCGCATCTCCTTGGGGATTCATAGACTGGCCTGGCCACAGAGACTGGTGGCTATTGCCAGCAGAGTTCACTATTGGGTGGATCAAGGCTACAGGACACCCAAAAAAAAAAACCAAAGCAAGATCCCACTGCCTATGGCACAACAACACCAAAAATTTGTTCTTAAACACATACTAGAGTTGCAGGTCTAAAATGGGACTGAAGCAGTTCCTGAGTCAGAGGAACCCAAATATCTCCTGAAGTGATTGTGGGATGTTTTATCCTCCTTGTTCTTGATCCCCAAACTCTTTTAAAGTGTTCTTCCTTAGATGATATTCAGCTCCATCTTCCCTAACACTTAAATTTGGAGTTCCTCCAGGTATACAGTTCAATCTGTGAGGCAAAAACTGGTGTTTATCTGACAGGGCTATTTCACTGAAAGGAGGAATCCCTGAATTTTTAATTTCTGTACAAGTGTATCCCTAGATCCGGGGATCCGACAGCATCCCATGGCAGGGCAGTGAAAGGGGGATGGAAGGAAGGCCTGCAAAGACACGAGGTAATTTTATTTACCTTGGTGCTTTTGAGATAACTGAGACCCTACTGCTCAATTCCTGCCTCTCCACCTGGTGCTGTATCTTTTAGAAGGCTGTTGAAAATTGAAGAGAATGCAAATAAGAGAGAGACACAAGTTATCTGAGAGCTGGGAAAAAATCCTGAAAAGGGAAACTTGAAAGACTCAACCTACTTCACTTATCAAAAGTGGCTGGATCAGAGAGCTGAAATGCCTCCCTGGGAGACAGCATCAGACAGGAGCAACTAATCCAGATGCAACTGCAAAGCAGGAGCCAGAGCTGGAGCTAGAGCATTACGAGTAATTCAATTAACACTTGTGAACCAGAGAGGTTGCCTCATTAATGAGACAAGCTATCACAGAGAATGTGTGGGAACAGCCTGGCTGTGAGCTGGGCAGGCTGTGGTGGCCAGCAGCCTGCTGTGCCCCTTGAATCCCTCTCAGTGCAGGAGTGTGCAGGGTCTGACCCTGCAGCAGAAGGTGGCTCTTACCTCAGGCAGGTTTTGGGGCTCTCTGGGTGTGACTGTGGAGCTGGGCTCGCTGGCCCCAAGCTGCTGCCTGGCTGTGCCATGACGTGTATCCAGGCTCGGAGACTGCACGGGTGCAGAGCGCAGCGTGAAATCATAGAATTCATGGATATCTGCAAAACAGCAGGAGAAACATCCTCAGGACCGGGAGGCAGCCTGATGCCTGATAACAGCCTCTGTGGGGTGCAGCACCTATGACCTTCCACTCTGCCCCCAGGGCCTGAGCCCTCTGTGAGAGGCTGGCACCCTGGCAGAGGGCTCTGCTGGCTCCCCGTGCTTGCTGTATTGCCC